TGCCTAATCTTCGTGTTTTCTCTGGGAATCTCTGGCACAGAAGCAAATTTAGAGAAACGACTTTTTAGTGTTCAACAACATTAAGTGCCTCACGATAAAAAGAAATCTGTCATGGTTTCCTGTGAAGGTAATAGGAATTTCAGAGAATTACATCAGTTACTTCTGGACAGTTCCTCCAGACCAAGCCTGCTTCTGATGGGCATTTTCTCAAGACTCTGTAAGAAGCAAGCTGAAAGCCAGAATGAATCATGGTGTTGGTAGCAACAGCCCATCCCCATCAGAAACAATTCTTGGCCTCTCTCTTAGTATGTCAAAAGCTGTGGAAACATGTGGCAAGCCCCATGTGCTGAGGAAATGCTGAACTGGTATTTGGTTATTTTGAGTCCCGCTGCAGGTTAGGGAAGGACTTGACAGAAATCTGCTAGGTGGTTTTCCAAACAGTGCACTGTTGATGTTCTTGATTTCTGAAGCCTGCTTCTGACAGATGACTTGAGGATTTGGGATGTGAAACAGTTTTTTTAATTATTCTTTTATTATTATATTTAAGAGAATTGCTGGCTGGTAACTGCATACAGAGTGTTTCCTCACCAGCCCCCTGCAGGACAGCAAACCAGTTCTGCGTGGGGACAACAGATTCAGGAGGAAGCTCCTTGTTTTTAACTGTCCTCTTCCTCTTTTTTCTGTTTTCTTTTTTTGTTGTTGTTGTTTTTGTTTGTTTGTTTGTGGTTTTGTTTTCAGTTTTGGTTTGTTTTGGTTTGTTTTGGGTTTTTTTGTTTTGGTTTGGGGTTTTTTTGTGTTACTATTTCCCAGCTCCCTGGGTTAACGGCCTCCTTTCCTTCATGACGTAGAAGGGACGCTTGAGGCCCCTGCACAGTCTGGGGCTCGAGCAAGCATTCCTGCCTCCTCTCAGCTACCCTGACACCTTTCAGCTACTGACAGCGTCCCGCAGCTCAGCCCCTGCTGCAGGAGGACCTCCACCAGGGAGCCCTGGGTGCAGCCCTGCCCATTGCGCACCTTTCCCTCACAAGGCCAGCGCAGGCACTCTCTACACTCCAAGCTCTGCACTGCAGCCTCCCCTCTCATCGGCTCTGTCTGAGTGCCTACGCTGGCCACCGCCGGGGCAGCCAGAGCAGAGCTCCCAGACCGGGCCCTGGTCACAACACAAGTCCTCACCATCCCCGACCCGCCCTGGTCACCGCGCTCCCCAGGGGCAGGTTTTTACCCACTCAGGGCTGGCACCGCCCCTCCTGGCTCCGGCCCCTGTGAGTCCCTGCCCGCGTCAGCTGAGCTGCCGGCTCCGGGACAGGGCCTGTCGAGGACTTGAGGCTCCCCCAGTGGCTCTCGCCGCTCTGAGTTGAGGCTCCTGGACGCTGAGCTTCACCCCGCTCGGGTGTTGAAGGCGTCCTCTCTGGAGATACTCACCTCAACAATAAGATTGTTAGGCCTGGTAAAGACCTTAAGATCACCCAGTTCCAACCCCCCTGCCATGGGCAGAAACACCTCACACTAAACCATGCCACCCAAGGCTCTGTCCAACCTGGCCTTGAACACTGCCAGCTTCCTTGGGTGACCCATTCCAGTGCCTCACCACCTCACAGTAAAGAACTTCCTCTGTATATCTAACCTGAACTTCCCCCCTTTAAGTTTGAACCCATTACCCATTGACTTATCACTACAGTCCCTAATGAAGAGTCCCTCCCCAGCATCCCTATAGGCCTCCTTCAGATACTGGAAGGCTGCTCTGAGGTCTCCACGCAGCCTTCTCTTCTCCAGGCTGTACAGCCCCAACTTTCTCAGCCGATCTTCATATGGGAGGTGCTCCAGTTCCTGATCAACCTCATGGCCTCCTCGGGACTTGCTCCAACAGCAATTGCTACAGAATCCCCCCAGATGTTAGGAAATATTAAGAATGTAAAATACTGGATCTGCAGTAATGAAGGGATGGAAACATCAATGGCATCCATGAAACTGGATCTGGCTTTCAGAAATGCTGAGTCCCCACATGTCCTAGAGACTTCACATGGCACCGAGAATATCCAGCACTTCAACAATAAAAAAAAAAAAACAAATACCAAAACTTTTGGAAAACAAAGTTGCTTGGAAACCAAGCTTGGTTGTCCAACAGACCTTCCTTTTTGTTCTACTGCAATTCAGTGGCTGTGTTCCTCTCCTCTTTGTGGTGTTCCCAACTGCTCAGATGAGACGTTAAGACTCTGCACTTGTTTGACTAAATTAGATGATGCAGGGAGTGGGAAGCAAAGTGAGCAAGGCTCCTGTTCTGCCTACCCAGAGAGAACGATAACATCATATGCTTGTAGTTCATCTTTGAATATACAACCAATGGGTTTCACTAGGAAGTACATTCCTCTCAGAACTAACCTCTTAAGAAGAAAAACATCATGGAAAGAATTAAAACAACAAAATGATCACATCATACGCACCTCACTGAAAGCCTTGTTAATGCCAACAACCAAAAGGGGTCCCAGACTAATCCATGGTGTGAACCTCAGTTCAGCTCCTTCCTGTTTAACATTCCCATCTCATTACTCCACTCATCACAGGAGGATGACTTTCAACAGGCAGAAGCCCTTCCATTCCCCTCGCCTCACTGCCCTACCAATAGAACAAGGAACACTCTCCCAAATGTCCACATAGAAGATACTCTAAGCAGCACACAGCTGGCCTACTGCTGAGCTGTCCTCGCTGCTCCTCACAACCTCCTCCTGAGTTAACAGAGCAGACCCTTCAATAAACATCTCCACACTGTGCATGTACGTAGAACAAAAGACACCTACAGGATGAATTCCAAACCCACCAAGAAATGAAGACAGAGGTCTAAGCTGTCATACCAAGAGCTACCTTTACCTTGGCAGACACCACACTGTGGTAAGCAAGATTTGCTACATCTGTGGATATTCGTTGTAATAACTATGTTATACGTTGACTATACATTCAGCCCGACGTTCAAGTTCCAGTTGTTAGGAGATGGTAAGAAACTCATGTATTTGACAGACAATCCAAATGCAATGCTTAAAAGAGCATTTTAGTATTGTTTCGTAAGAACTGAAACCTTAAGAGCATTACTTACTTGTGTACTTCTCTAAGCATGTCAATTTATCAAAGCATTTAATTGGTTCGTTTAAAAAAGAGAAAACAAACTTACTCATGAACAAACTACGTTTAGGAACCTAAGAGCTGATTTTACAAGGCTCTTGGGTGCCTAAAAACTCAGGCAAAAACTGAGTGGGAATTTTCTCCTTCCATTGAGACTGAAGGAAAGTTGGCACCTAACCTGTCCCACACTGAGTGTAACTTTCTTACCTGGACTGCTGGATTATTAAGTGTCTGCGAAGGACTGGATGCAACTCCTTCAGCACTTAAACCTGTTTAACCTACTCAATGTCTTTAGAATTTATAAATTAAGGGCATTTTTTTTCTTTCATTTCCTAGCCGGTTTTTCCGATTTTGAAGGCAGCAATTGACAAAATTACAGGTCAATTCCATCAGCTAGCTCATACTGAAGCCAAAACAACCAGACTTCAAGAACAAGACTGTTCCCTATAGACATTTGGTATAGCAGACGTCAGTGGCATCTTTGAAATCAGAACTAAGCCTGAAAATTAAAGATGCTTTCCCTCACTCACTGCAAAAATATAAACTTCCACTCATCAAAATTAATCAACATGTTCTGAATGTTTTAAAATTTATTAAAAACTTAAAATAGGCGAAGCATAAAACGTAATTATAAACTGTCAAAGAGCCGACATTTCAGGTATTTTTATTTATTTGCCTACAACACGGATTTTGTGTTTACTACTGCTGAAAGGATGGCACGGCCACAATGGAACTCAGGGAAAAGAGAAATCATGGAAGCACAGAATGGTTTGGGTTGGAAGAGACCTTCCACTAGCGTAGGTTGCTCCAAGCCCTGTCCAACCTGGTCTTGAACACTGCAACAGATGGGGTAGCCACAGCTTTGGTGGGCAACCTCTGCCAGGGCCTCACCACCCTCACAGGGAAGAGCTGCTTCCTAGGAGCTCATCTCAATCTCCCCTCTTGTCAGTTTAAAGCCATTCCCCCTTGTTCAGTCACCAGAGGCCCTTGTCACAAGACCCTCTCCAGGTTTCTTCTCAGCCACTTTAGGCACAGGAATCTGCTCTAAGGTCTCCGTAGAGGCTTCTATTCTCCAGGATGAACAAGCCCAGCTCTCTCAGCCTGCCTCCATAGCAGAGGTGCTCCAGCCCTTGGGGCATCTTTGTGGCCTCCTCTGGGCTCCCTTAAGCAGAAAGACCAAATACAGACCGAACACCTAACTGCTGATGTAGCCCTAATAACCTGTGTTTATTTTTAATCATAGTATTGAAGTAATAATTCAGTTTGGGACAGACTGATAAAAATTCCCTCCTTTGATGCTGGCAGATTCATTGCTTTTAATTTTGCTCCTTGGAAAGCTGCTTGCAGCTGGAATGTGGGGGGGGGGTTACTTTTTAAAATGTACACGGCATTGTGGTTCTCTGCTCAGTTTAGGAGTTGCATTTGGTTTTTACATCCAAAACATAAACTCAAGAGCACCAGTAGACCTGGAGCATTCTCAGTTGTTACACACAGCTGTTTTATGTGATCACAAAAAGCATGGTGAGCTTCACAAGTCCCCAGTACAGCCACAGAAATTGTGTTATTCCTCTTCCTTGTCCTCCTTCTGCATTTACATTTTCTCAACAAGGACCTGAGGGGAGACGGTTTACCTTAAGTCAGAAGTGAAATCATAGTAAAGGCTTAGCTGACAAAACCAAACCCCGCCGTAAATAACCTGTTCTTGGCAAACGGCAGCATTTCTAGCATCAGGCAGTGACTTTCCAAGGACTGTACTGGTGTGCACCGGGATCAGTGTGGCATTTCAAGTCACGTATGTGACACAGGTGCTTAAAGCTGCTTCGGTGCAGAGCAGGTCCGGTTACATGTGCTGCTGCACCGTACCGGCAGGCTTCACTGTACCGATGATGGCTGCAGTGCACCTGGATGAAAAGATGCACAGGCTGTGCTCAGACGATGCTCCCGGCTTAGGGCGCGGGATGCCCTCAGGGCTTCAAGTGCAGGCGGTCCCTCTCTTGCTCCTTCCGCAGCAGCTCGGCCGCGAGCGGCAGCCGTTCTCGCAGCACCGCGTACCTGCAAGCACCGTGACATTCCGCAACGCCCTCCCCCCCAGCGGCCGTGTCTCCCGAAACGAGCTCCTGGGCACCGGGTGCACCGCGCCTGGCCTCCGGCCTGCGCCCGCCTCGGAACCAGGGCCGTGGCCGGGTTGGCTGCCGGTGCCGCTACGGGAGCAGGCGGGAGGGGCGACAGCGAACCCGCGTTCAGCGCCGAGCGCGCTGCGGCGACCGGCTGCAGCGGAGGGAGCCGGGCCCGCTGCTCGGGGCCTGCCGCCGCCCAGCTGCGCGAGCTCCCGGCTCGGAGGTGAGGGCTCGCTGCCACGGGCCCGACGCTCCCCCGCGGAGCACCCGCCAGCGCCGGAGAGGTCCGGGGCCGAGCCCGGCGGGACTTCGCTCCTCTTCCTCCACCGGCGACACCGCAGCCGTTTCCGGCCGGGCGCGGCTGCCGGCGGAGGTAGGCGGTGGGGAGGCGGGAGGAGCGGGAGGGACGGCCGCGGCGGGAGACGCCGGCTCAGCCCGAGGGGACCGAGAGCAGCGGCGCTGGGACCTCGCGAGCCCCTGCGCTGCCCGGGGAGCTTCCCCCTCATCCCGGCCCGCTGTCGCCGGGTTTGCGTTTGCGGCGGCCGGGAACGTTCCAGAAGAGGCCGCTGCGGCAGGCAGGCGCGGTGGGGAGCGGGGCCGGTGGGCCGCGGCTCACAGGCCGGCGGGTGGCGGGAGAGCAGCGGGGCCCTGGGGCGGGCGCGCCCCGGCCCCTGGTCCTAGCTCAGCTCTTCCCCTGCTCGTACCCCGCCGCTCCAGTCTTTGGGACCGTCCCGGGCTTTAGAGCGTCCTTGGGGTACGGCGAGAAAGGCACGAGAAACCTGAGCGGGTGAGCTCGCCTTTGTCTTTCTCATCCGTGGCTGCCCCGTATCTGGCAGTGTCCGAGGCCGGGTTGCACGGGGCTTCGACCAGCCTGCTCTAGTGCTCTAACGGTGGCAGGGATTGGAACTGTGTGAACTTTAAGGTCCCTTGCAACCCAAACCAGTATGCGATTCTGTATTTTATTCTGGTGGAAATCCCTTTAAATAAAAAGGCTACTATGATGCTTCTTAAGAATAATTTAATGAAAACAGAGGACCAGCTGTTCAGAGGCAGTCAAGAAACCAGGGCTGAAATGGCAACCCTAATCCTGGTATAGTATAAAAAATGCAGATTTAACTCCCCTCTTTTAAACTCAGAGTAATCTTGCCATGCTTTCCCATTCTAGGGCACCAGGAATTACTAATTGTGAACAGTTTACCTGTTCCCTTAAATCTTGTTTAGGCATCGGATTCACTTCTTACAGAAAGGAATAAATAACTCAAGAATTACCGCTTAAAAGCAACAAAGACTAAAGTGAGTACTTTGGAGATCTTTGAGTTCACAGTAATGTATTTTCTTGTACTCCTCTTTTGAAGGACTAAATCAGGTAAAAAAAAAACAAAACAAGGTAAAATTCTTCAAAGTGCCCTAGCTACTTTGGCAACACCTATATGGCATTCACAGAAGGCAGTTAAAGCACTTAAACATGATTATATCCCCTAAATAAAACAGTCACCTGGAAATTTTAACTAGTGATACATTAACGTAAGGGAAGCCTAATTCCCTGCAGTGATTCTGAATTCAGTCAAGTGCAGAATAATTCAACATTACATAGCAAGTCAGTGGCAGGATAGTGCATTAATCTCATCCTGACACACACACCCCTTCCCAGCAACACACAAACAAACAAAACAAAACCCCAGACATCAACCCCAAAACAATACTTAATTGGCCTATGTTCGCAATTAGTACAGATAACCAGTAATTGTTATGTTGAAGTATGCAACTGTCAAAGTAAAATTCATTACACTAAAAAGCCTGCTCTGGAAAGGTTTATTCTCCATACTGTATCTCTGCTCTTAGCTCTTTGGAGAGGTAATTTATCAGCACTCCTGTCAGCTTCTGCTGGAGACTAGCATTTCCCATTACAAGAGCAGTCAGCTGAGCAACGTCAGTCCAGTCTAAGCTCCTGAGAATAACAATGGCTTCATCGTAGAGTTTCTGCTGCTCAGCAGGAGGCAATTCCAGTAAAATCTGAGGGACTGGCCTGAACTGTCCACTCGTCATCCAGGCACCAAGTAAGCCACCAAATGCTCCTCCTAGAACAGAGGGAGAGAGGTGTTACTCCTTGCCAACTGATGTTAAAACCTGAACTTCTGTCCACAGCCTTCACCAGCAGTGGTCCCATCTGTATTAGGAATCAATGTGGAGTTACGTATGTCTACTGAAACTCCATTCATACCCAGTGCTCAAAGCACCAAGGATTTTTAAAGCTTTTTACATCCACAGCAATCACAAACCAACTGTTTGCACAATCAAAGCTAATGGCTTCAAGCAAGAGAAATCAGAAACGAAACAACACTCCTTAGGGCTCTCGTCTCTTTATGGTAAGCCCTACCAGTAAACAAAACCATGCCCAAGGAAAACACTGGACATTTACTTTATCAGTGCCATTAGCCCATAGTCTCTTGCCAGAGATTCCCAGACTGACCCAAGCTTTCAGCTTCTCTACAGCCACACACTGCAGCCTCCTGCTCCCATAAAGTCCACCTGTCAGGGACCAAACCATCAGCTTTGTGTGCTTAGACACATTCACACTTTCATCTGCCAAACCAACAGCCCACCCCAGCTGGCCAAGAAATGCTCTGCTATGCAGACTGGTTCAGAGGGTTTCAAAGATGCCACTGTCTCAGCCTTAGACCTCTGGATGGCCTCCATTTTGCTGCACAGGAGTCCAAGTCAGCAAGGTCACTACCACGCTAGAAAGAAACACACATGCCTTTCTGATGCACACCTTGTTTCTAAAAAGCTGACAAACAAAAAGGCATCTTGTTAAAAGCCATCTACATGAAATCTAAACACTGCATGCGCCTTTTCTTCAACCCATACCTACACACAAGCTTCTTCGTTTCTCCACGCAGGAAGTTAACCACAATTCTTGTTCCTAAAGCAAAACACTTACCTACAGCGATTCCAGGTGGACCTCCCATCAGACCCCCAATAAAAGCTGTTGCACCTGCCAGCAGTGCTCCTCGACCAGAGTGCTTGACAGCAGCTTTCATCCCCTTCTCCTGGGAGAGGTGGCAGAACAGCTGCATCACATCATCAACATTGATGGGCATCTTGGCTAGGCAAGATCCTGGAAAAGATACTTTAAATTACCTCCAGATTGCTGCAGCAAGGACTAAACCTTGTTACTAAATTAATACTAAGAAAAAGCACAGACACTAAGAATACAGATTGAAACATTCAAAACATTCAAAGTACATTGAAAACAATAAAACATTTTTTATTTTTGTGAAAACCAAGCCTACTTGCAAACAGCTAATGACTGATAGAAATGGAAAGAAAACCATGTGGAATACAGGAAAATCTGATTTTATGAGAAATTAGAAGACCAAACAAGGGGAAGCACCAGCAATGAGAGACAGGATTCAGTTCCTCCCATCAGTGAGACAGAAAATTATTGGTGTTTGTCCTGTGCCTCCTTAGCATGACCTCAGACCAACCCAACCACCTGAGTGCTGACAAGCATTTGCTGCTTCTCTTTGGGCCAAATCCAGCCAACATCTCGTGCAGAGCACCTCAGTATGAAGCCTCTGCAACACAGGCAGGACAACAGAAGGTGGAGAGCTGACAACACAACACAACAGCTCTTGATAACAGTAATCATGTGCTTTCCCCTGCTCAAGCTGACTGACTTCCACAGTTTCCTAAACCAATCTAATTGTAATACACATTAAGGGATGCTTTGTGAGCAGAAACACCTGAAGGTGAAGCATCAGGATGTCCAAGGAAAGCGACCTGCATTGCTCCATCCACCACGCTGACATTACTGGCAAACAAAAGGGGTCCCAGACTAATCCATGATGTGAACCTCAGTTCAGCTCCTTCCTGTTTAACATTCCCATCTCATTACTCCACTCATCACAGGAGGATGACTTTCAACAGGCAAAAGCCCTTCCATTCCCCTCGCCTCACTGCCCTACCAATAGAACAAGGAACACTCTCCCAAATGTCCACATAGAAGATACTCTAAGCAGCACACTGCTGGCCTACTGCTGAGCTGTCCTCGCTGCTCCTCACAACCTCCTCCTGAGTTAACAGGGCAGACCCTTCCATAAACATCTCCACACTGTGCATGTACGTAGAACAAAAAGCACCTACAGGATGAATTCCAAACCCACCAAGAAATGAAGACAGAGGTCTAAGCTGTTGTACCAAGAGCTACCTTTACCTTGGCAGACACCACACTGTGGTAAGCAAGAATGTGGGTAAGAAGGTCCACACACAACTACTAGAAAGCGACCTGTGTAGATCTTCAAAATGAAACTCCAACACACCAGGAAATAGTTATGAAGGAACCAATGCCCAGGATAAAACCCATGACAATGTCTTCTGTCTCAGCTGTACAGCAACAGCTCTACCTGTACTGCAACTTCTTAGAACATCAGCACTACAGCAAAACTAAACAAAAAGTCCTTGGCAGCTGAAACATACTAAAACTTCACAAACAATAGCATGCACAAAGATCTGATGATTAAGCAGGCCTTAAGTTCATTATTTGAATAATAGCTGGAATCAAGATATTCCCACTCATAAAGGAAGGCTACATCACTGGTCTTGATTTGAGTAGCATTCGTGCTCTTATATTATTTTCTCAAAATCCTACCTTTATTGTCCAACCCAGGATTTTAAAATCTGCAAAATAGGTGGTCTGATTTGAATCATGACTGGCATGCCCAGCCAGTAGAACTTGGTTTAAATAAACCAGTTGTAGTCATGCTCTGTATCTGCACTCTTCAGTAATTTTGCTAGGGCAGGGTTCATTCCCTATAGACACTTGCTATAGCGGACATCAGTGGCATCTTTCAAATCAGAACTAAGCCTGAAAATTAAAGATGCTTTCCCTCACTCACTGCAAAAATATAAACTTCAAAAGTAATCAACATGTTATGAATGTCTTAAAACTTATTAAAAAAATTAAGACTAAAATAGGCTGAGCACAAAATGTAATTATAAACTTAAAGAGCTGGCATATTAAATGCTGGCATTTAAATTATTTTTTTTATTTATTTGCCTACAATACCGATTTCATGTTTACTACTGCTAAAAGGATGGCACGGCCACAATGTAAATCATGGAAAAGTGAAACCATAGAAGCACAGAACGGTTTGGGTTGGGAGAGACTTTTCACTAGAGCAGGCTGGTCGAAGCCCCGTGCAACCCGGCCTCGGACACTGCCAGATACGGGGCAGCCACGGATGAGAAAGACAAAGGCGAGCTCACCCACTCAGGTTTCTCGTGCCTTTCTCGCCGTACCCCAAGGACGCTCTAAAGCCCGGGGCGGTCCCAAAGACTGGAGCGGCGGGGTACGAGCAGGGGAAGAGCTGAGCTAGGACCAGGGGCCGGGGCGCGCCCGCCCCAGGGCCCCGCTGCTCTCCCGCCACCCGCCGGCCTGTGAGCCGCGGCCCACCGGCCCCGCTCCCCACCGCGCCTGCCTGCCGCAGCGGCCTCTTCTGGAACGTTCCCGGCCGCCGCAAACGCAAACCCGGCGACAGCGGGCCGGGATGAGGGGGAAGCTCCCCGGGCAGCGCAGGGGCTCGCGAGGTCCCAGCGCCGCTGCTCCCGGTCCCCTCGGGCTGAGCCGGCGTCTCCCGCCGCGGCCGTCCCTCCCGCTCCTCCCGCCTCCCCACCGCCTACCTCCGCCGGCAGCCGCGCCCGGCCGGAAACGGCTGCGGTGTCGCCGGTGGAGGAAGAGGAGCGAAGTCCCGCCGGGCTCGGCCCCGGACCTCTCCGGCGCTGGCGGGTGCTCCGCGGGGGAGCGTCGGGCCCGTGGCAGCGAGCCCTCACCTCCGAGCCGGGAGCTCGCGCAGCTGGGCGGCGGCAGGCCCCGAGCAGCGGGCCCGGCTCCCTCCGCTGCAGCCGGTCGCCGCAGCGCGCTCGGCGCTGAACGCGGGTTCGCTGTCGCCCCTCCCGCCTGCTCCCGTAGCGGCACCGGCAGCCAACCCGGCCACGGCCCTGGTTCCGAGGCGGGCGCAGGCCGGAGGCCAGGCGCGGTGCACCCGGTGCCCAGGAGCTCGTTTCGGGAGACACGGCCGCTGGGGGGGAGGGCGTTGCGGAATGTCACGGTGCTTGCAGGTACGCGGTGCTGCGAGAACGGCTGCCGCTCGCGGCCGAGCTGCTGCGGAAGGAGCAAGAGAGGGACCGCCTGCACTTGAAGCCCTGAGGGCATCCCGCGCCCTAAGCCGGGAGCATCGTCTGAGCACAGCCTGTGCATCTTTTCATCCAGGTGCACTGCAGCCATCATCGGTACAGTGAAGCCTGCCGGTACGGTGCAGCAGCACATGTAACCGGACCTGCTCTGCACCGAAGCAGCTTTAAGCACCTGTGTCACATACGTGACTTGAAATGCCACACTGATCCCGGTGCACACCAGTACAGTCCTTGGAAAGTCACTGCCTGATGCTAGAAATGCTGCCGTTTGCCAAGAACAGGTTATTTACGGCGGGGTTTGGTTTTGTCAGCTAAGCCTTTACTATGATTTCACTTCTGACTTAAGGTAAACCGTCTCCCCTCAGGTCCTTGTTGAGAAAATGTAAATGCAGAAGGAGGACAAGGAAGAGGAATAACACAATTTCTGTGGCTGTACTGGGGACTTGTGAAGCTCACCATGCTTTTTGTGATCACATAAAACAGCTGTGTGTAACAACTGAGAATGCTCCAGGTCTACTGGTGCTCTTGAGTTTATGTTTTGGATGTAAAAACCAAATGCAACTCCTAAACTGAGCAGAGAACCACAATGCCGTGTACATTTTAAAAAGTAACCCCCCCCCCACATTCCAGCTGCAAGCAGCTTTCCAAGGAGCAAAATTAAAAGCAATGAATCTGCCAGCATCAAAGGAGGGAATTTTTATCAGTCTGTCCCAAACTGAATTATTACTTCAATACTATGATTAAAAATAAACACAGGTTATTAGGGCTACATCAGCAGTTAGGTGTTCGGTCTGTATTTGGTCTTTCTGCTTAAGGGAGCCCAGAGGAGGCCACAAAGATGCCCCAAGGGCTGGAGCACCTCTGCTATGGAGGCAGGCTGAGAGAGCTGGGCTTGTTCATCCTGGAGAATAGAAGCCTCTACGGAGACCTTAGAGCAGATTCCTGTGCCTAAAGTGGCTGAGAAGAAACCTGGAGAGGGTCTTGTGACAAGGGCCTCTGGTGACTGAACAAGGGGGAATGGCTTTAAACTGACAAGAGGGGAGATTGAGATGAGCTCCTAGGAAGCAGCTCTTCCCTGTGAGGGTGGTGAGGCCCTGGCAGAGGTTGCCCACCAAAGCTGTGGCTACCCCATCTGTTGCAGTGTTCAAGACCAGGTTGGACAGGGCTTGGAGCAACCTGCGCTAGTGGAAGGTCTCTTCCAACCCAAACCATTCTGTGCTTCCATGATTTCTCTTTTCCCTGAGTTCCATTGTGGCCGTGCCATCCTTTCAGCAGTAGTAAACACAAAATCCGTGTTGTAGGCAAATAAATAAAAATACCTGAAATGTCGGCTCTTTGACAGTTTATAATTACGTTTTATGCTTCGCCTATTTTAAGTTTTTAATAAATTTTAAAACATTCAGAACATGTTGATTAATTTTGATGAGTGGAAGTTTATATTTTTGCAGTGAGTGAGGGAAAGCATCTTTAATTTTCAGGCTTAGTTCTGATTTCAAAGATGCCACTGACGTCTGCTATACCAAATGTCTATAGGGAACAGTCTTGTTCTTGAAGTCTGGTTGTTTTGGCTTCAGTATGAGCTAGCTGATGGAATTGACCTGTAATTTTGTCAATTGCTGCCTTCAAAATCGGAAAAACCGGCTAGGAAATGAAAGAAAAAAAATGCCCTTAATTTATAAATTCTAAAGACATTGAGTAGGTTAAACAGGTTTAAGTGCTGAAGGAGTTGCATCCAGTCCTTCGCAGACACTTAATAATCCAGCAGTCCAGGTAAGAAAGTTACACTCAGTGTGGGACAGGTTAGGTGCCAACTTTCCTTCAGTCTCAATGGAAGGAGAAAATTCCCACTCAGTTTTTGCCTGAGTTTTTAGGCACCCAAGAGCCTTGTAAAATCAGCTCTTAGGTTCCTAAACGTAGTTTGTTCATGAGTAAGTTTGTTTTCTCTTTTTTAAACGAACCAATTAAATGCTTTGATAAATTGACATGCTTAGAGAAGTACACAAGTAAGTAATGCTCTTAAGGTTTCAGTTCTTACGAAACAATACTAAAATGCTCTTTTAAGCATTGCATTTGGATTGTCTGTCAAATACATGAGTTTCTTACCATCTCCTAACAACTGGAACTTGAACGTCGGGCTGAATGTATAGTCAACGTATAACATAGTTATTACAACGAATATCCACAGATGTAGCAAATCTTGCTTACCACAGTGTGGTGTCTGCCAAGGTAAAGGTAGCTCTTGGTATGACAGCTTAGACCTCTGTCTTCATTTCTTGGTGGGTTTGGAATTCATCCTGTAGGTGTCTTTTGTTCTACGTACATGCACAGTGTGGAGATGTTTATTGAAGGGTCTGCTCTGTTAACTCAGGAGGAGGTTGTGAGGAGCAGCGAGGACAGCTCAGCAGTAGGCCAGCTGTGTGCTGCTTAGAGTATCTTCTATGTGGACATTTGGGAGAGTGTTCCTTGTTCTATTGGTAGGGCAGTGAGGCGAGGGGAATGGAAGGGCTTCTGCCTGTTGAAAGTCATCCTCCTGTGATGAGTGGAGTAATGAGATGGGAATGTTAAACAGGAAGGAGCTGAACTGAGGTTCACACCATGGATTAGTCTGGGACCCCTTTTGGTTGTTGGCATTAACAAGGCTTTCAGTGAGGTGCGTATGATGTGATCATTTTGTTGTTTTAATTCTTTCCATGATGTTTTTCTTCTTAAGAGGTTAGTTCTGAGAGGAATGTACTTCCTAGTGAAACCCATTGGTTGTATATTCAAAGATGAACTACAAGCATATGATGTTATCGTTCTCTCTGGGTAGGCAGAACAGGAGCCTTGCTCACTTTGCTTCCCACTCCCTGCATCATCTAATTTAGTCAAACAAGTGCAGAGTCTTAACGTCTCATCTGAGCAGTTGGGAACACCACAAAGAGGAGAGGAACACAGCCACCGAATTGCAGTAGAACAAAAAGGAAGGTCTGTTGGACAACCAAGCTTGGTTTCCAAGCAACTTTGTTTTCCAAAAGTTTTGGTATTTGTTTTTTTTTTTTTATTGTTGAAGTGCTGGATATTCTCGGTGCCATGTGAAGTCTCTAGGACATGTGGGGACTCAGCATTTCTGAAAGCCAGATCCAGTTTCATGGATGCCATTGATGTTTCCATCCCTTCATTACTGCAGATCCAGTATTTTACATTCTTAATATTTCCTAACATCTGGGGGGATTCTGTAGCAATTGCTGTTGGAGCAAGTCCCGAGGAGGCCATGAGGTTGATCAGGAACTGGAGCACCTCCCATATGAAGATCGGCTGAGAAAGTTGGGGCTGTACAGCCTGGAGAAGAGAAGGCTGCGTGGAGACCTCAGAGCAGCCTTCCAGTATCTGAAGGAGGCCTATAGGGATGCTGGGGAGGGACTCTTCATTAGGGACTGTAGTGATAAGTCAATGGGTAATGGGTTCAAACTTAAAGGGGGGAAGTTCAGGTTAGATATACAGAGGAAGTTCTTTACTGTGAGGTGGTGAGGCACTGGAATGGGTCACCCAAGGAAGCTGGCAGTGTTCAAGGCCAGGTTGGACAGAGCCTTGGGTGGCATGGTTTAGTGTGAGGTGTTTCTGCCCATGGCAGGGGGGTTGGAACTGGGTGATCTTAAGGTCTTTACCAGGCCTAACAATCTTATTGTTGAGGTGAGTATCTCCAGAGAGGACGCCTTCAACACCCGAGCGGGGTGAAGCTCAGCGTCCAGGAGCCTCAACTCAGAGCGGCGAGAGCCACTGGGGGAGCCTCAAGTCCTCGACAGGCCCTGTCCCGGAGCCGGCAGCTCAGCTGACGCGGGCAGGGACTCACAGGGGCCGGAGCCAGGAGGGGCGGTGCCAGCCCTGAGTGGGTAAAAACCTGCCCCTGGGGAGCGCGGTGACCAGGGCGGGTCGGGGATGGTGAGGACTTGTGTTGTGACCAGGGCCCGGTCTGGGAGCTCTGCTCTGGCTGCCCCGGCGGTGGCCAGCGTAGGCACTCAGACAGAGCCGATGAGAGGGGAGGCTGCAGTGCAGAGCTTGGAGTGTAGAGAGTGCCTGCGCTGGCCTTGTGAGGGAAAGGTGCGCAATGGGCAGGGCTGCACCCAGGGCTCCCTGGTGGAGGTCCTCCTGCAGCAGGGGCTGAGCTGCGGGACGCTGTCAGTAGCTGAAAGGTGTCAGGGTAGCTGAGAGGAGGCAGGAATGCTTGCTCGAGCCCCAGACTGTGCAGGGGCCTCAAGCTTCCCTTCTACGTCATGAAGGAAAGGAGGCCGTTAACCCAGGGAGCTGGGAAATAGTAACACAAAAAAACCCCAAACCAAAACAAAAAAACCCAAAACAAACCAAAACAAACCAAAACTGAAAACAAAACCACAAACAAACAAACAAAAACAACAACAACAAAAAAAAAAAAAAAGAAAACAGAAAAAAGAGGAAGAGGACAGTTAAAAACAAGGAGCTTCCTCCTGAATCTGTTGTCCCCAGAAGAACCGGTTTGCTGTCCTGCAGGGGGCTGATGAGGAAATACACTCATGCCGTGAACAACCGCCTGGTGCACTGGTAAAGAAGATCTCTACTGGCGCTGCCAGGAAAAAGTGGTGGGTCATAGCGGTAGAAGACTCTACTTTGAAAAGCACAGAGGCACTCATCTGTTGGCCTGACCCGGTCTCAAGGGAGGTGTGCTGCCTACCAGGGGCACGGATCACGGATGTGGCAAAGAGGCTGTCTGCTCTAGTAAGTCCCACTGCTCTAGTAACCCACTTCCAGTGATTCATGTGGGTGCTAGGGATATAGATAGCAGTAGCCTAGGGAACATAAAGAAGGACTACAGAGCCCTGGGAGAGGTGGTTAGGGGCTCTGG